CGAGGCCGCACCCTCTGCTCCTGAGGAGCCCTGTGGTGTCCAGGGTCCGAGGCCGCACCCTCTGCTCCTGAGGAGCCCGTGGTGTCCTCACGGCTTCTGCTCCAGCTGGTCTGCTGCAGAGTCAGGCCTGGGGGGGGGGGCCGATGAGCCCCCAGGGCTCAGGGGCACTCACACCTGGAGGTTCACCTGTCCCACCCCGGCTGGCTGTGAGCACCATCAGTCACCTCTGAGCAGATGTCAAGCCTCCTCTGCGACATCTCCAGATCAAATGTGACGAGCACGGTCAATCCAAGGTCCTCTCAGGCCCTCTCTCAGGCAAACAGCCTCTGCCCTGCCGCTTTGCACTGATGCATCATCCCCGTGTGTGTCACTTGCAGGAGCACATGCCTGTAACATGCCTGTAACACAGCTGTGCTTTCCAGGATAGGACACAGGTGAACAGGACAGGAATGTACTTCCAACAGGGACATTTATGCTGCAAAAGAGTTACGACAGGTTGGGGACTCACTGTGTGTTACACAGGGGGGGGACGTGGTCAGGACTCACTGTGTGTGACATGATGAGGACGTGGTCAGGACTCACTGTGAAACGGGGGGACGTGGTCAGGACTCACTGTGTGTGACACGGTGAGGACGTGGTCAGGACTCACTGTGTGTGACACGGTGGGGGACGTGGTCAGGACTCACTGTGTGTGACACGGTGGGGGACGTGGTCAGGACTCACTGTGTGTGACACGGTGAGGACGTGGTCAGGACTCACTGTGTGACACGGTGGGGACGTGGTCAGGACTCACTGTGACTCGGTGAGGACGTGGTCAGGATTCACTGTGACTCGGTGAGGACGTGGTCAGGACTCACTGTGTGTGACATGGTGGGGACATGGTCAGGACTCACTGTGTGACACGGTGGGGACGTGGTCAGGACTCACTGTGACTCGGTGAGGACGTGGTCAGGACTCACTGTGACTCGGTGAGGACGTGGTCAGGACTCACTGTGTGACATGGTGGGGACGTGGTCAGGACGCACTGTGTGTGACACAGTGGGGACGTGGTCAGGACTCACTGTGACACAGTGGGGACGTGGTCAGGACTCACTGTGACACGGTGGGGATGTGGTCAGGACTCACTGTGACACGGTGGGGACGTGGTCAGGACTCACTGTGTGTGACATGGTGAGGACATCATCAGGACTGATTATGAAGCACTGGGGGCCCTGACCTCCGACCTTTAACAGTTCTACACATGGTGGCAGGAAGAAATGGGGAG